CAGCTTTTTCTACGCACTTGGTCCGCACTCTCCTTGTTCACGTCGGCAGGATCAGAGTCACTCACCTCCACCGTTTCCGAAATCTTGTCGTGCACTTGATCGGCACCATCGTCATCGTGAGACACACTGCGCGCCCGTACGTCGTGAAGGACGCAAAGCAGAAGAAGAAAACAGAGAGCCGACCGTGGCACAGAAAGTCGACTGGTGCTCACGGTTGACCGTGGGCGTCGAGAGTTGAGTGCTCTCATGGTCGCGGCCGAGAGGCGAATGTCTCGGCAACTTCTCAGCCGGTCTATGGTCAGCCATGGCACACGCATGGTGATACACATACCATCGCTTAAAGCACGACACTGGAGACCGCCGGCTGCAGCCAGTTCACGGACGAAGAAGCGAACCTGTGGATGAATAACAACCTGGCATTTCCATTTTTGCGGTGCCCCTCTACGGCGCCTCTCTTCCTCGAGTTGACGACGAGGACGACGACGTCGCCAGCCGACGAGTTCTCTGTCATCGACCGGTTGTATTTCCTGCGCGGAAATGACAATCATGGGCGTCGATCGTTCGATTTATGTGGACACGTACTTTTCGCGGCGTTGTGGCTCGGATAAATTATATTGTCGTTAAGCGTGATTTATGCCATCGATTATGCATCGTGAAGCTGAGAAAGTTTATTTACCTCGGATCATTGTAATTTACATAGGCGCACGAACGTCGAGCTGGTGCAACACGAAGGAGTGATGTTTAAGGAAAGGGAACGAGGAACATCGTGTACATAGTTAACTGCCCGGTATGCGAATTTTTGCAGCGCGATTTACTTGTGTACACGTCAACGGACGAACTAGAAAACGACCTTCACTGTCTACAACAGAAATCCAAGTCTCAATTAAATATTTTTTAGCGTCCAAACACGTAAACATAATTCTCCGTTTCGTAGCCATTAAAAAATGGTATTAATATTTCTATCGCTAAAAAATTAGGAAGAGATCAAAATATTTTTTCTCATAATTGTCTACATTGCGGAAATGTATTTTTTATACAAAAATAATATAAATGAGATACAACATAAAAATTCACGATCACAACGAGTGCAAGAAGAAACGCAAATTAATCGGCGATAAATATATGACAAACAGATTCCTTAAGCGGACAGGTGAATAATGAGAAGAGCAAAAGGAATGGAAGTCCGTAGATCTGGACGATGTTATACAAATAAAGACCAGACCAGGTTTCAGGTTCATGTTTAATACAGCGCTCGCTCGCTCCTCGCTCGCCGGTGTAAAGGGTTGAATTTTTAGTCCTTGAAGGAATCGCGACTCGAAGAAACAGCCAGGAAGAAGGGGCATCCTGGTGGAGGTGGCTGGAGAGCGGAGAGCAATGCATTTTTATCGCCGCGAATCTTATCTTCCAAGATGGTCGGCGCGATGCTCCCTACTTCTTCCCTCCCGTCACTTCTTCCGTACGGGATTCACTGTGCAAAGACGATGCAATAAACCTGTATTGCTTTTCTTACTTTACTGTCTGCCTTGCTTACGGTGCGTCCACAACGTTTCAAATCGATTTTAATACTTTAGTAACGACTGCTTCGCGCTATTAATTCTATCCTTGTTAGCGATTTTGCCACTCTAGATTTCTGTATTCTTGCAGTTTCTCTCAATTGTCAAAACTTATATTTCTCTTTCCGTGTCACAAAAGCAAGAAATATAAACAGTATTTTTTTAATATTTGGTTTTACATATTTACGAAACAGATGTATGACGTAAGTATAATAATGTCAATCGACGTTGAGTGTTGAGCGTATCGAGGTAAACTACAATGCCGATCAACGACCATAACTTTTCTTTGAGCCACTTACTGACCAGACCGTTAATGAATTTTATTACGCAAAACATTGTTCGTAATGTCTCGTTACGAGGTCAGTAAACTGTTGTTAAGTTGGACGCATCATCATTACTGTGCATTATTCGTTAAGCATGGCCATTATTGTTGCTACTTATAGCAGCATCGCATATATGTATGAATGCCTGTTAATGCTGTGCGTATTGAAATTTATGTAACAATGCCGAGGAGAAAACAAGAATACCTGGAAAAGTAGTTCAAAAATGTATCTACTTATTTGCGATAATGAATAAACATCTATAATGTTTTCACTGCGAATTGTGGAGCTTCGGGAGATTTCCTCGGAAAACCGCGATGCAAGACATTCCTACTGCAACACACTCTTGGCGTTCAGCCACTCCTTTTCAAGGTGATGGTCATACATGAGCGTACGGTCGTTGCACGATGGCCGTGACAGTGACGTAAAAAGTGAAAGATGATACGTAAGTATTATCTATAAAAGGTTTTTTATTAACAATAAGATGTAATACCATTGAAGGGAAGAGTATAGTAAAGAACAAAAACTAGTAAACTAGTAACTTATATCACGAACTGATTATTAATGATCAGAAGTCGTAAAATTTAGAATGTACTCGTGACGAATAGTTGCGAATAAGTGAATGTTATAGCATGTAATTTTATGATAAAAAATACAGAACATTACAAAGAAAGAGCGTTTTGACATATTCCGGGTCGACGTTGTCCAGATTCTCTGAGGTGCGCGTAAAATCGGCACCGAAGGGGAATTCGAAAGAGATGCGCAGCGAGTCGATGCGCAGTGAGCGGGCGATTCTCTTTCGAGTTCGGACCGCTCGGTGCTCGTTGGAGGGAATCACACGGTTACTTGTGCGGGTCCGAATAACACGTATTTCGTGTAGTCCGTTGCATTGGTTCTGGAAAAGACAGAGGGAAAAAGGTCGATCGAAAGAAAGACGATCGGTCAGTGTCGATGAGGACGTTTGAGTGGTGGTAAACCGGTCCGAGAATGAAGGCGATTGGCCGCATCTTGGCGTGCGTGCTATTGGCAACTGCATTTGTGAAAAATGTGCTTACAGCGAATACCGCGAACATTAAATTTTCGACGGAGCAGAGTAACGAGGCTGTACGATCTAATGTTACAAGACTCGAGTTGGTTTCGAAATCGTCGCCGCTGAATTCTGACATCGAAGATCCTCGGAATATCCAAGATGACGTATTCAAGAACGAAGAAAATTACGGTAGAATATAATTTGACTTACATATGTTAATTAATGAAAAAATATGCAAATTACGAACATTTATGGTGATAGTGACAAGTAAGTGTGGCTTTAAAATTACCAACTATTTTACTAAAGGATGCTTGGCTTTCAAATCACATTAATAATATATATTATGTAAACTCTCACTTATTCTTATAATTATAATTCATTGTAATTGATACCGCGCACGTAGATATCATCTTTAATTATAAACATTTAATATACAGATTTTGGGCTTGAGGAAGCTCGCACTTTCGGACACAAAAGGTTCCAGCTGATGCTGATGCCGATGATGTACAAGATGGGAGCAATGATGACACTATTAATGGTCCTGACAGCGATATCAGTAAAGGGACTTATCGTCGGTAAGCATCGTTCCTTTCATGTTGCGGAACGGAAAGTGTCACCCGCACAAATTTATAACGGTATCGTGGACCGTCGTCTTGTGGACGACGTAGCCTGCATATTTGATTAGGTGATACCGTCGACCCATTTTCTGAGAGCATATGAGTACGGTATTTAAATGAGTGTTAGATTTCTTAGAATTCTTTAAAATAACTTAATTTTATTATTTATTATCACAAACATCAATATTTAATAATCGCAATATTAATAATTATTATTTCTAGAATTTTTATTTTAACAATTTTTGTTTTTTGAAACGTATTAATTTTTAGATCTTTTACTTCATAAAAAAATAATATTACTGAAAAAAATATTGCTCAAATTAATATACATAAATTAAAATTCTATTTTATGTTTTTTTATTTATAGGTCTCATATTGCTGGTGCTTAAACTCAGCGCTTTTCTAGCGAAGTTTCATACCGGACACTCAGCATGGTCTCCATCGCAACCGATTCATGTTCACGTTCATAACAGTTTCCCTCATGCTCACGCACAAGCGTATCATGGTTGGATACCAGCGAGTGGTCCCGGTGATGAGGATCACTATTATTACAAAGGATAAATCACATATAAAGACATATGTTCGAATCGTAAATAATATATCACAAAGCCATAATGAGGAAAGGTCGTAGTAAAGCGATAGTCTTCGGTAGAGAAGTATAATTTATATAATTGTTTTAGTAGTCCTCATTTCTCTTCGATTTGTTTAGATAATATTATTAATGTTTAATTTTTATTGAATCTAGACATTAAAATTTACAACAATCGTATTCTTCGCCATACAAATCAAACTATTTTTTGAAAATTTATTTGTGTGAAAAAATATCAATTTATTTCGAAATTTATAGACGATTTTTACACGTTAATTAAACTTTACACTGTAATAACAACGACTTCTTTGCATATTTTGTAAATAAGTTACGAATATACCAAAGGAATAACTTATGATATAAACTTACCACAGAAAATAATGAATCAGATTTACTTTTCTAAATGAGATCTAAGTAGATTTTTACAATACAATAAACATGTAATTATTTATTAACATTATATTTTATAATATTTACATTACACATAAAATGTGCCACATAAGAGCCTTCAAAATACGTAAACGAATACTCATTCAAATACGTAAATAGTACTTTATGAACACTGCATGGTGAATTAGAAAATACAATCATTACCTTCATCAAATAGCAATCATATAGAAAGTGTTAATTTGGTGTGTAATTATGAGAATATCATATAATGTAGGACCAAATTTTCATACCAAAACGAAGAATAGCTGTGTAGAATTAACTGTTATTACCTCATGTTATTAAGTTCTAGAATAAATTTATTATTTATGTATATTATTTATAATGGCATATTTCGTAATTTATTGTAATATATCTATAAATTATTTGAGTATGTTGTAATATATTTTCGTACAAATGTACGTATTTTTAAGACATGTTTTTGTTACGAAAACCGAGAAGAAAATATATAATTTATTGAAAAAACGATCTCTATGAAATTTTCTATACGTAGATTATCAAAATTGATATATTTACCAGCGAGCGGTCACTGTAGCGAGTCACTGACTATATGCATTCACATTACGGCTGTTCTAAGTGTAAATAGCGTTCTCTAGACCCAGTTTTCCCGCCTTAGTGGGGTATCTGAAGAACAAAAAAGGTAAAATATCTTTGCTGCGCTCCGCATAGCACGATGCAGTCTGCATGATACACGAATACGGGAACAACGCGCGGCATCCGCGTGCGAATCCGGAAGAAAATCGTGCGCGTAAAAGTTTCTCGAAAAATTTCTAAGTTTCTAATAAAGTGTAATATAAATGTATAATAATTGTGGAAATTATATGAGTGTGGATCTGGCACTGTATGTAAAATCTGTCTTTACGTAACAAGAATAATATATTCAAAATATAAAGTAAGTTATACACAAAAACACTTAAGCAGCGTTATTATAACTGTATCTTTTTCTCAAACTGTTTTTCAGAAATTATTTTTCAAAAATATAACTGTTAATATTTGTGAATGTGACACAAATGTAATTCTTGAAAAATAAGTTATTTTTCTAGAGATAATATTGTAAATAACATTTGTTGTGTAACATTTCAGATCACATAAATCTGTTGTAAGTTCGAGAAAATGATTGGAACTAAATTAATCATTTGCATTGTTATCTGGTTGGTAACGTTGTCAAAATTATTGACACGAGCCGAGGAGAAACTAAACAACTCTCAAATTAGCCTTAATGAAACTCAAGGCTTAAATATTTTCCCAGGAATCAAATTTTTCTTGACAGACGGTGAAATTACTGTGCACATGCGAATTTATGACCTACTGCAAGGTATTTACAGTACTCTTTCTCTCTCTCTCTCTCTCTCTCTCTCTCTCTCTCTCTCTCTCTCTCTCTCTCTTTCTTTCTATTTATTCTCGTATTTTGTTTTTAAAGAAAATTAAGCGCATTTCTCTGCTTCAGAAGTGGCAGTGGAGGGTCGAAGCAAAGAAAGGAAGAATATTTTAGAAAGACTCAAACATATGATGATGATGACGCCAATTATTATGCAGGTTGCAATTTATTGTTGTTTAACATTTTATATTGAAAAAAATAATGAAATATATAATAACACATTGTCAAATACTGTTTCAGATACTTTCGCTGCCGGGCGCCATAGCGTCCATCAAAATGTCACTTTTGAAAAGTCTTATGGTAGCGCAATTAGCAATTGCAATTATGATTTATAATTTAATCAAAAGTACGCAAAGTGAGGAAGTAGTAGTATATCAGCCGCACCATCACAAACATTTTTATCACAATTCCCATTATCACGACAACGAGGACGAATGGTTCGGTAGATGAATGCTACACGAACAAGTGCGACAATAAAAACAATATATATGTATATTATTGTAAGACTAGTTTCGATTTTGCAAAGCAATACACTCGAATGTACGAAAGACATCTGTGATATACCATCGCAACAAGGCAAAATTAATTTATTAAATTATTTATACATATTTATACAAATTATATTAAATTATCTTATATAGATCAAAATACATTTTATTATTGATGCGTCTATACAATGCGATTTAACGATGTTAAAAAATATATAATACACTAATTACTCGCCAGTTGCATGCTCACCTGCCCGTCTTTTACTTCACATTGAGCCGCGTGTCGGTCAGTACGATATCAAGATGTCGACTGACCTACTTGAGGTCTCCACATAACGGCATTTTGGTCCAGATTTCCGTAGATGTTCAGACGTGCCCATTCAGGTTTTCCCATTTCTCTCTCGGTAAATTCGACATCGAAATCGAAATTAGAATTCTGACGCGCTTCTTGCCACGCGATGTGTCATCAACGAAAAACGCTCGTGGCGATGGGAGCGCAAACACCGGTTTCACACGCGAACAAGAAAGACATACACGCATTAAGACGAGTTTTAAGCGTATATTGAAAGTTTCGTCAACGGCGCATTGAATCCGCGGGAGGTTTCGGTATTCGCGAAGCGTATACGTGCTAGAAACCCACCTTCCGCGCGCGGTATCGTTAGTATGCCACGATGAACATTGTCCCTAAATCGACACTTCGCCATACAAATCAGATCGGTATGCCGTTTTCTAGACTACAAAATGCACGTTGCGCGAGGTACACGCGGGAAATAAGAATTGAGCGTTTCCTTGTCGCGAAATGCTTGAATCAGGTAAACACCGATGTTACGATCCTACGTGAAGGAATTTGAGATCCTCCATCGATTCGATATTCCACGATCTAATTTCTAGTTTCAGCTCGTTCTAGATTGCGGAAAAGTCGAACAATAAACGAATATATCAGACTAGTCTAGTCTGTAGAAAATTTGACTAGTCTAGAAAAACATTTGTGTGTGTGCAATTCAATACGTAAATTAAATTTGTAATTTACAAAATTTTTAAGATTTAATATGAATACAATCGCATTGTATAGAATTATACAATATTTAATTACAGACTTTTAGATTATAATAAAATTTTTTTCCCACTTTTATGTTTAAGTTATGATATTTGACACTTTCTATACGTTTAATTAGGCAATAATTAATTGCATGGTGACGTGCTCTTTATTTCCAAGAAACTCCTTACGATCAAAAGATATAACGGTGCCACTTTCGATAACCATACGATTTCTAATCTTAACACAGCACCATTTCCGTAAGCCATATATTGAGATAAAATTTTTGAGATATAATTTTCGAATTAAATACGTCGCCATACATCACTAACCTAACATCACTAGTGGATGACCCTGACACTTTATAGAATTATTCTATTTACGTTCAAAGAGAAACATAGCAACACAAAAGTAAAATAATAAATCTCCAACATTTCATACTACTTGTCTGATCACATTTTTTTTTATTTCACACTTAACATGGATTAACTCTAGTGAAACTATTAATATATTAACATACTATAATATATTAACATACAAATATCGCACACAGTACAATAACGTTTAAAAATTACAACATTCTGCTGACATTACCTAACGAGGTGTATTATGCATTGACCTATGCGCATCGAACGCGCATTAATTTATTATAATCCTGCATCGCTTGTCCAGCACTCCCAAGAGTGCCCGTTCCTCAACAAGGAATGACTATCGATCTGGCAGCGCTAAGTGTGAGAAAATAAAAGGTCATCTAATAAATATAAGTTTATCGTAATCAGTAAATGTCTTCTTGTCAATATTCGCTAAAAAAAAGCATTATTTAATTTTTTGAACATGTACAACATTGATAATAGCTTTAATTAATCTTATACGTATTTTGTGTGATTAATTTCATAAACTTTTTATTAATTAAAATAATACATTAATTCTAATCTTTCTCTCTCTCTCTCTCT